TGTGTATTCCCCACGACCGACCGACTAGCAATAGTAAAATGTTCAGGGTGTCCAGCAATATTTCCTGAAAAAAAATTACTAGCTCACCAGCTCGAAAAAGGGAGCACACGTGTACAATATACGTATGTCTCCAGTCAACAACATGTTAGTGTTCAGTGTTGTACTAGGGTCTTGTTTGACTTAAATATTTCGGTCTATTATACCTGTAATATTTTCCTCTCATTATTATGTAAAAAATAAATCCTGCTTTTGAGGTTTCGGAAGGGCTTAAAACAAAAATTTCGACTATCAAGAACCAGTCTGGGTGTTATGATCATCATGATTCATATTATGAGCTGACAGACTCAAATTATTGATCAAACTCAGAGAAAAGTAATAACTTGAATGGCTCAAGTAGGCCCGTGCACTGTGAGAGTTGTAACAACTGTTGTAGGGCAAGATGTAGTGACACTGAAAATCTACCAGTCTTGAACAGAAAGCTACAACATACACTGTAGGTATAATTTACTATCACCCATCCAATGAAACGCCAACACATTATTTTAATAACACAGACTTGCAAAGTATGAAGGCAGGGTCCCGATTCCGCACACGGCCTGCACCAACGTGCGCTTTGCAGAAGCTCTAATCAAAATTCTGAAATGTGCTTCCAAGTTTTTGTCCTCTGGTGTTGCTTTCACACCCTCCCCCATAGTATCTTCAACCCCAAAAAATCAATAATCTCCTTCCCTATTCCGTAGTCCTATATTTTGCAAGGCCGTTACTCCCACCAAAGACGATCTTTGCTCACACGATGCCGCATTTATTTATGATGCGAATGCGCGCAGGTTCAGTGACCGGTCACGATGGCCAGCCAGACAATCTAAAAATTGGACGACGCTGGTATTTTCTTTTCTTTTTTTTTTCCACAAGTGACAGCACAGAGGCGAGTCCAAGCATTGATTAAATTTTAGGCCGGCACTATTTCTCCGAACGTTCGGGAAAATAAAGCTGGGCACTATTTCTCCGAACACTCTGAAATCACACCCTTTCCCGCATATTTCGGATAACAAAAATAAAATATAGATCTATAATTATATTATAGGCCTACCAAAGATTGTTCGTATACAATATGGTTCAATCGGTCCAAAAAATGTCCGTATTTATATAAAGAAATGCTACAGTTCCAAACAGTTTTTCGCTACAGATATGACGTGTGGCCTATGAAGGGTGCTGCTCTTAAACTTAATGTGTTGCGTTCACTCGTGAGCTGTCTAGATCTAGATCTATGGAGGGTTATTGATAACGACACATAGAGCTAGCATCTGCGTTTGTCGAGGCCGCGACCAATCAATCGTGGCTCGATTTTTTGGTCCCCGAAAAAGTCAAAAAAAAAGAAAAGAAAATGAAACTCTTTACTTTTGAAAGAAAGTTCACTTAGCTTCACTTCGTCTCTTTCTCACTTGTCACCACGTTGATTTGTTGAATACGTTACAGTTACATACGATTTGTATTGCTGTTCCTCTTTTATTTTTCGTTTATTTTTCCCTCTTTGTGGTGTTATATTTTGTTGGTGTGTATTTTTTTTTTCTTGTTATTGTTCTGATGTGTTGTTTTTCTATTAATTTTTTTTTGTTGGGGAAAAGGGGGGGGGGGGGGGGGGTTGTATAGTGTAACGTCATTTAATTTGATGTTCCTACAAAAGGTATTGTGTAACGTCATTTAATTTGATGTTCCTACCTTCATTAGATTCTAAATATATATACCTGTATAGATTTAAATGTGCTATGTTAGAGCGTTCCACCAAAACCAATTACATGTACTGACACTGGCAGGCCCCCTGTGTGTGATTCCATAATTTCCATGCATTATCCTGTACTTTTTAAAAACAAATTACGCAATTTAGGGTTAAAACGGTCAATCTTCTTCGGACAGGTGGACACACGCCCTTATTTGTTAATTGTTGTGGTTGTTTCTGGGCTGTTCTAGTTTTGATTTCATTCTGTTGTGAAACCTTTCTTTTTCACGTTTTTACACTCATCTAAAAATCTCTAGACTAGATCTAGCTCTTGAAAATTGAAATAGATCTAAACCCAAAAATTTGCTCCTTTTTTTTTTTTTATGGACGATAACCGTCCACTCAATAGAAAAGAGGGTCAGATTTCTCCGTCTCTCGGGTGCCTCAGGCAGTACCCGCCTCGCTAAACCAGTGGGCACACGGCCGGAGGAGAAGCTGAGAACAGATACCACCTTTGATTTGCTCCTTCCCAGACCTCGCAGAATGACGGAATGAAAGTTGGCGCCGAACTCTCGCAAATAGGCAAACAATCACGACCAGAGCGGAAGCCGGAAACCGTTCGGAGAAATAAAGATCGGCACTATTTCTCCGAACGTTCGGAGAAATAGTCACTTCGTAAATTTTATTTGCGCGGCGACATTGCGTTTATACTGCACAACCTTTAATTGGCCACCTCTATTCTCACCCCGGGTGAGAATAGTGCAGGTGAGTCTTTTGGCTATTCTCACCCGGTGCACGTTCACCGTTATAACCTAGATCTAGGCCAACCAATTTTGCGTTCACCCTAAACCACAGAATTCTACACTGTGATAACAGAAAAATTGTAGAATTCTGTGCCGTGAACAAACGTTCCATTACTACTGTTAGCTTACTAAAAGCGTACAATTTTGTCCGAGGGCAGTGGAAAGAGAGAAAGAGAAAGAGAGAGAGAGGAGTAGCGCGAGAACTTCCTGGCAAAACAAAATGGCGACCCGCGTAGTTCTGCTCGATTTGAAAAGTTAAATAGCCGTAGCATCTTTGTAGACAACCAAATTAATTTACTTTTGTGTTTTAACATCATTTTTTAACTTTGTTTTGGTCAATTTGATCGTCCACACCGATAGACAGCATTCAGAAAGAGATAGAGAGAGAGAGAAGAGGGGAGGAGTAGATCTTGTGAGAACTTCCGGGCAAAACAAAATGGAGACCCCCGTAGTTCGGCTCGATACGAAAAGTGAAATAGCCATAGCATCTTTGTAGTCGATAAAATTAGCTTACTTTTGTGCTATAACGTAATCTTTTCTTTGCCTTTATCCATTTGATCATCCACATCGATAGAAAGTATTCCCAAATTAGGAAAAACAGGTCTTGTTTCACACCGGGTGAGAATAGCCTACGGTGGCAAGTCTCACCCGGGGTGAGAGGTCGATCGTATTTCTATTCTCACCCCGGGTGTGAATAGCCACTTCCTTTCAAATTCCCAGGGCCTTGCAGTCACCCTGCTAGGTGCTCGCAGTAGCTTCATGTTTTTGCGTGTGAGTGAAAGCGGGCCTAAATCAAAACGCCTTCCTGCTTGGCATAGTAAGGCTACAACAGATGATAGAAGAATAAAATGCTTAGAGGCTTAGAGACTTAAGACAGATTTAGAGATTGGGAGTGTATACAGACCCGGTAACCGGGAACAAAGTCACAAAGTATACAGACCCGGTAAGGGGAACTCTTTTGTGATTTTGGAGAGTTTCAGCGCCCTCTTGGCTCAGCGTAGACCTAGGTTCTTCTAGATCTATGGTCTAGATCTAGGCGGACAGACATAAATCTTTGATCTAGTTTCGCGGCTAGCCTAGAATCTAGATCTAAATGAAGATTGCGGATGTTTTTTCGATGAACGATCGTTTTTCCTCCGTTTTGGAGTTGGAGGAATCACAATTTGAAGAAAAGAACAAGTTACAATGTCATAATTTCAAACGAGCAGTCTCTCTCTCTCTCCTCTGTGTATCGCTCGCCTTCTCTTTTTCTTTGTTTGTCTCTGTCTTTCTTTGTCCCCACCTATTTCCCACTCTATTGACTCTATCTTTCTCTCGTTCCCTTGCCAACTGGGGCATGTCATATTTTGCTAGCCGAAGTGACTATTCGGACTCGAGTCCGAATATGAAAAAATGTTATTCGGACTCTGATTCTTGTCCAGCATGACATGACTGCCGATTTCCTGTGACTCCGGCTTCCTGTCCTGCCTCACTCGTGACTCGCCTCAGGCTAGGTAGAGACGGGATCACTTCGGGCAAAATGGCGTTAAATTGTGCAGGAGCCGAGTTTTTTTCTTATGATGAATTTGAGGCTGGCCTGAAAAGTTATAGCGCTTCTAATATAAATGTTTATTTGTCAAGAGGTAATCAGAAGCAATTAAAGATGGCTCGTTAGCGTGTGTCGGGGTCGGACGGGCGGCCTGCACACGTGTGGCTGTGTGTGCGTGTCGGGGAGGGGGGGGGGGGGCACTATTGGTCCGGTCGTTGAACGTCGCATATGCGTCAGTCTCTCCCCCCCCCGTGGCAACTGATCATTACAATAATAAGCTAGTCTTGACGTAGATCTACGTAATGAATTGTGCGCTGGTCTATGGAATCAAAAGTTGCCGTATGTTCGGCTCTACACAGCAACACAACTTTTTCTTGGTAAAACAATCGAGATGACACAGCCTTGTCTTGTGTATTTGAACGAATCGATCTTTTTTTTTACACAGCTCATAATATGCAGGTGCCAGGTGATCTGCTTATCTTCAATTTTACCTTTTTTCTACCACAAAGAAAGTGGGAAACATGGGGGGTGGGGGGGGGGCGTATCAATGAGGCGGCGGGCATCGGATCGGCAGATAAAGTGTGGGGGAAGCTAAAAAATGGCGGAAAATTGGAAGCACTGAACGTTAGATCTATAGAACGAAGACACTTCCTTTTTTCCAGACCGTGTCCGAATAACATTTTTTAAATATTGGGACTCGAGTCCGAATACGAAAAAATGATATTCGGACTCGAGTCCGAATAATGACGGCCTTTAAGCCAGCCTTTGCTAGCACCCCCCCCCCCCCTCCTCTCTCTCACACACACACACACACTAGTCTTCACTAGATTTCTTCCGGGTCTGGGGGCTGAAACTTCCCGAAATCACAAAAGAGTTCCCCTACCGGGTCTGTGTATACTTCGTGACTTTGTTCCCGGTTACCGGGTCTGTATACACTTCGTTAGAGATTTACCTGTTAAATGTGAGATGCTGCTGCCTCTTCCTGACATCGTAATATATGACTTCGCCTCCCCCTCAAACTCGTCAATAGTAGATCTAGATGATTTAAGTCAAAACTGAACTTTAAAAACTCAAACAAAGACGAAACGGTAGCCTTGACACCGGCACTCGCTGGACTGAAATCTACACAAAAACTTCAACTGTTCGTGCACATGGTTGGTAGATTCTAGATCAAGAAAGAAGCTGGAATGGATCATACAACCATGTTTGCACACATGAAAAGTAATGTTGACGGTCTTGGTGGCTTAAATGTTTTTGTTTTTTTATTCACTAGCGTGTTCACATTTGAGAAATTGAGGTGCTCCTCTGGTCTTCTTGGGGTCCACTTTGGCTTTGCATTAGGCCCTAGGCCAGCAATCTTATTCTACAAACTACAAAACTTCACGCTGCGTTTATTTTGTTCTCCTCTGATTCCAAAAACATACACCGGGAACAAAACGAAAGCAAAAATGCAAAAAGTGGACCAAAATTCTAACCCGAAAGAAAAAGTAAAAAGCATATGATTCGATTCCTTTCGTTCGGCTTGAGGCTTGTCCTGTCAACTGTCCACACGCCACACCGACAGTGACGCCTTTTCCCACCTTTGACTTACGACGTAATACCTAGGGCAGAAGGAGTAGGTTATCTTGAGCTCACGCAGTATAACGACAAAAATGTCTCAGAAAAGAGCACTGCATTTTGTTTTCAAGGTTGGAAATCGAACCGAGACGGCGAAATTCTACAGAGATGTCTTGGGAATGAAGGTAATAAGGTTCTGCTAACACTAACACAAAAGGCTAGACGTCTCTTGTGCTTTTAATTTATTTATAAAGACTCTAGGCCTAAATAATAATTAGGCATCGTGTAATATAATAATGATTAATAATGGTCTAGGAGGGGAAAATAGACAGGTTATAGACTAGATTCTATAGGTCTTATTATACATTATACAGTATTGTATTATTATATAATAGTCTTAGAATCTTGAATATTATTATGTAAAGTGGATCATAGTCTTTGTGTGTGACATTTTTTATGGTTTGCATTTATTATTGTTATTAATTTTAGGCTTCTAAACTTTATTACTTCAACTTACAAGGCCTATAGACTATAGCCTATAGCTCCTTCAGAGGTCTTGGTTACACCTTGGTGTCTTTTCTTAGAAGAAAAAATAACTGGATAACCCCCCCCCCCCCCCCCCCCCGTTCAAATACATGTACCAGTTGCACATAAAAATTTCAGTACGTTTGCTTATTTACTAGATCTAGCCTGATTTCAGTGATCCGATTTCTTTACATAATATATAGAGGCCTAGATAATGACTCATCAGAAATGCCCCAGAAAAAGGCTACTTATGTCTTATTGCATGCTGTGTAGCAATGCCAAAAGTACCTGTATGTTAAACCATATTAAAAAATATTTAAATTTTGTTGTAATCATGTCAGAGTGTGGGGCAATGAGAAAAGAATTGAATTTAGGTTCAAATGAAAAAAAAGAGTGCAATTCTTATCTTTCTTCCAGTATTTTTTTGGCTTTATTTTCTTTTGTCTAAATTATGAAATGCTATTCCATATGAGTTTTATATTTTTATCATACTTTTATGTGTGGTGTTTCAGTTGTTTGTGGGCATATATAGATTATAGGATGTTGGCATTGCCTTAGAAATGGTCAGTGATCACTGAAAAAACCCCATTCAATTCTTCTAAGACAGTTCTGTTAACAAAGCGACCTAATTAGTGTTAAAATATTACTCACAGACTTAATTTAAAAAATAAGTGATCCCTTTTAAATCGTCTGACCTGGCTCAGAACAATTGCCACATATATTTCCTTTACTTTAGTTCGTTACTTGTAAATTTATGATTGTAGCACTTTAATCTGCTTTTGATGAATTAAAGTTTTATTTAAAATGTTTTCTTTCCAGTTTTTGCGACATGAAGAATTTGAAGAAGGATGCAAAGCTTCCTGTAATGGGTAAGGCCCTATAATCTTTTATTAAGTTCTTCCAAACAACTTTCAAAAGTTTAATTGCAAATTATATTTGAGTGTATAGGGTAATTGAGTATTGAAATATAGACAAGGAAATGTCTTGTTAGTTTTTTAATGTGTAAGCACTACTTTAATCAGCAACTTGCAATGTATGCTTCCCTAGGGAAACCAAGAACATTTCTTTGTGTTTAAGGGTGTGGTGGGGGATATAAATAGTTGTTTAATCACATACATGGATTAAGGAACACACTAATAAAAAAATGTTTAAAATTGTGGGCGTGGTACATCGAAATAGCTGGGAGGGGGAGGTTGTTATTTTGTTTTGTAAAATTTGTTCTAATTTGTCTTTTGCTCTCATCATTTCAATGTTTATTATAATTTATACTTTCCACAGTCCCTATGATGGAAAGTGGAGCAAGTCCATGGTTGGATATGGCCCGGAAGATTCCCACTTTGTCGTAGAGCTCACATACAACTATGGGATTGGCAATTACAAGCTGGGCACTGATTTCATGGTAAGTGTGCTGCAAGCAGTACAATCATCTATACCTTAGAAGATATCAAGGGAAACTCATTTTGATAAAAGGATCTAAATTACAAAGTTGACAAAGTGCCAAATTTACCCTCGAAGGCAAGTTTTGTTTCTCTTTTTTTTTTCTTTTTTTTTTTCTTTCTCTTCAAACTATTGAGAAGTGTGCTATACCTGGCCAACTTTCATGTGGTCCATGCAGAACCCCCCAAAATAAGTTCAGATGTCAAATGTTCCAGATAATGAATTGCCCTGGAAAAGATCAAATCAAAACTTTTAGTCTTTCATGTGATTGCATACACAGGGCATCACAGTTCAGTCTCCGAACATTCTGGAGCGCGCTCAGAAAGCAGGATACTCAGTGACAGAGGAGAGGGGACTCAAAGCTGTCAGGTCACCGGATGGTTACGTGTTCAGAGTACTGGAAGAGCCATCAGTTGGAGGTAGGGCGCAGTTTCTGTTTTCTGTGAAGCTTGGTGATTGTGGTGTTCCCTGGGTTCTCTGTGTGTACGTGTATAAATTTGTATGTTTGTGTATGAGCGAGTTTATAAAAATGCTTAACTCTTTGTCTCTGAAGCGGGCTTTCCCCACCGTGCCAATGCCCTGCTATTTTGGTATAAAACGTAAAAATGAGAATACTAACTTGACCGAATGGGTCATTTAATCACAATAATAATCCTATTTTGACAGTAGAAGACCTGTTTTCAGCAATTGTCGAGAACTGAATATAAAACCGAAGTCGCCATAATGGAAGGTGCAGTGGTTCCAATTGCGAGCCGTTGGGAGTGACTTGCCAGAGATGAGTTAAGTTAACCAATACATTTAGTAGAAGTAGATTTGGAATTTTTATTATAAAAACAAATCTGTCTTATGTAACTACATTCATCTGCAGTTTTTCCTATTTGCAGTTTTTATAATACAAAGAAACCTGTACTTTATGTAACTACATATTCATTTGCAGTTTTTTCTATTCGCAGTTTGTATTCAATAGAAATCTGCACTATATGTGACTATATAATTCATCTGCAATTTTTCCTTTTCGCAGGATTTATTATAAAAAGAAATCTGTGCTCTCTGTATAACTTTATATATTCATCTGCAGTTTTCCGCTATAAATGAGAGTGCTTTGTTTTGCTGTATCACGCTACAGCAGTCTAATGTGATGTACTTATTGCTTTTTTTATGAGCAGTATGTCACCAATACAGTATTTTTCATGCAGAAAAGGCAAATTTTCTCATATATTAATTGTTGGATGAACAGTGAGTGGTGTAGGTTGAAGTAGTTTATTTTGGGAGCAGCTGTGACAAGCAAACATGATGAAGGGCAAAACTACAACATTACAAAAGCAACACACAAAACTACAACGTTACGAAAGCAGCACACAAATTCAGCAGCTGAATGTCTTCGGTGGTCTTTGTCTTTTTGGGGAACTGTCCAGATTGTCAGGCCTTGTAGATCAGGGGTGGGCAAACTTTTAAATACTGCACATGGGCCAAATGCTGTCTGTCATAGAGTTTTGTGTTGCCTGCGGAAACATTCGGTGTATTTTTTAGAATAAAAGAGATCAATAAGTTCTCACAAAAATGGTTACATTTGTTAGTCAATATACATGTACTATTATCCTTTTATTTAAGTCATCTCTTTTAATCTTTTGTTATCTGTCATTCACTGTCGATAAATTTTGAATGCCCTCAGATCCTGTGAAGAAAGTAACCCTTGCCTCGTCAGACTTGAAGAAATCTGTGGGTGAGCAGAATTATTAAAAAATGCTACTGTTGATCAACTTTAATATCTTTATCCCATACCTTTTAAATCTCTCTTACTGGCATCTGTGGTGTAGCAGTGAAGCGCTTCGCTTTCGCTTGCAGGGGACCCAAGGTCGATTCCCAAGTTGGGAGAATTTTTATAGAGCATCTCAGGTCTCTTTGCTGGGATATTGTTTCCCTTTCAGCTGAGATTGGCCCTGACAGGCAAGGTCGGAAACCTGCTTCCTAAATGTTCAAATTGTGTCAGTTGGGTGTAAAAACATGGACATTAAAAAAATAAAGTATCTTTAGGATTGAATTCATTATCAACAGTGCTCGATATACCAATGGTGTATCTGTGACTGTAAATTTAATTCTTAGTTTACAGAATAAATACGTACCCAATGCATAGACTTCAAAAGTTATCTATTAGACTCCTTTTTTCTTTTATTGGAAGTTTAATTTTTAAGTAAGGGCAGCTCTCATGTGTCCTTGAAACACACAAGTTACCTTTTTCCCCTTTCCGTGCAACAGAGGATTGCAAACCAATACAAACTGGTTCTTTAAGGTTAAGATTTTTGTATTTGCACAACCAAAAGGTATTAGGAATAGGGAGGGTAAATGTCCGTGTGATTCAATAAAAATTCACTTTCAAAATTGAAATGTGAGGTGGGAGGTTTGGAGGCAGAGGGTTTTGGAAGACTAGTGTGACATTTGGAGACATGACTAAAGGGCGACTCAGCATTCATGTTTTATTTGATCAGGCTGTTACACTGGGCTTCTATTTGCATATTGGATACAACACTTATGTTCAGTGTGGAGGGCTCCAAGCTCTGGATAGAGGAATATTTATAAGGCTCTTGACTGTTGTCAGAGCAGGGTGTCAGTATGTAGAGGGCCCCTTTCCTCCTTTTGTACCCCAGTCCTTATTATCAGCTTATCTTGGTTGGGGTTACCCAGTGTGCGTTGATAGATAAGAGAGAAAGAATGTGTCTAGACATTTTTTTTCCTTATTCATGATATAGTGCCTCAGTGACAAAGTGCTGACTCACTGTTTGTCTGGGAGCTGGAAATAGGGCAAGCAAAAATGGATAGGTGCTACTTTTATCTGATTCTCCTGGCTCTTACCTATGAAGATCTTTCACTTACTTTTATTTTTGTCCCCTAATGTTACAGCTGTTGAGAGTGGGACATATTCTGACCCCCATTTTACTTATTGAGTCTGTTTATACCAGGTGCTATCAAACTGGGTCTCCATTCCTTTTGTGCCCCCCACCCCTCACACACACACACAAGAAAGGTCTGTTTATACAAGGTCGTATTAAACTGGGTCATGTTCCTTTTCTGTCCCACTGCCCCCGCAGACCCCATCTCCCACCTTAGCTGGGGAGAAGCAAGCCACTGGTAGCTTCAACATCTTTCCTCTTATTTCTGTATTTAGTAAAAATAACAATGTTTTTGGTAAGAAGTCTGATCTTGGTGCCTATTTCTCTGTTGCTGGTTAATTAAATCTCATTCGTGGGTGGTTGACGGGTGTTCTGGTGTGATTTGCTCCTTTTTTCGCGTCACAAATCTGTCATCCTTATCTCTCCTCTTCCTTTTTTGTGTTAGTTGCTCTCTTGTAGCACCTCTAATCTTGGGCTCCTAATTGTGTGGTAAGTGCTGTGGTAAGTGCTTATAAAAATTAAAAGTCTCTTTCACTTATTTCTGTTCTCTTTTGTCTGTCATCGTGATTTCAAAATAACTCGGAATGACTACAATTCAGTACACATTATTTTTTCTTCTCTTCCCCCTCACCAGAGATGGTACCTATGCTGTATAATAATAATAGAGTAACCTTCAAAGAAATCTGCTCTTTTTTTAGTTTAACTTTTAATAAAAGCTTTACAGCACCTGAAACATAAATAGGTCACATTAGTGCCAAAGATAGAGACTTTATTAGAGAGTAACATATTAAGAAAAGAAAGAGAGACAAGGATGATAGATAGATGGTCTTATTCCTTCCCTCCCCCCCCCCCCCCCCCTCCCTTCCAAGTCTTGTACATTATATGAAGTCCTGTCTCAAATTACAGATTTTAGACTGATTTTCTTTCTTCTGGGTTGTTTTTTTTTTTTAAGACTTCTGGAGTCGACTTGCTGGCATGAAGATCTATGAACAACAAGAGAAATCTGCACTGTTGGGTTATGACGACAACCAGGTATCAGGCCTCTGTATGCTTTGTTTTTGTCTGTGTGTGTTTATGGGGTTGTATGCATGTTGCATGTGTAGGGTATATCCAGTTGATGTGTGTATTATCATCATCACAGGTGGTTCGAGGGTGCCACTGGTAGGTCCTATACTTCTTTTCTTCTCTTCTGTTGTTTCTGTCTGCCTCTCTTGCCTCTTCCTAGCACTATATGACCGTTATTGTGTCAATGTGCTTTTCTTTACACGAACAGAAGATCATCGCCACAAAGTGTATAAATATGTATATATATGGCTCTCTTTTACTTAAATTTTAACCTTCTGTCCCCTATTCTATCAGGGATTGGAGGTATGGCATCTTGTGTAACTTTAATGTACTTATCGAAGCATTGAACCCAATACTATTTGTGCCGTATCCCAAAATGATCATTGTCATATCTTGTACATTGATGTGCTTCATTTTGCCACAAAGTAAGGCTCAAAACAATGGCTTATCTAGGGTGTGGGTGGTAGTGCTGTACGATTTTGAGGAAACAAAAAATCATCGAAGCTTCGAAGCATGAGCTCACTATTCATGACATTCGAATACCTCCGTTGAATGTTTTATTCTTATATGTTATGATAAGCATAAACCCAGACCTAAGTGCTGCTATTCTACATTCGCTAGCTATTCACAGCGCCATCTAATAGTTTTTTCTTATAAGTGATAAGCCCAGATCTAACTTCCGCAATTCAAAGCACAGTCGAATCTTATTTTCTTACATGTGATAAGCCCAGATCTAACTTCCGCAATTAGAAGCGCCGTCGAATTGTTTTTTTTCTTATATTGTTACAGACCAGATCTGACTTGCGCTGTTCAACGCCAGTCACTGAGCGCACATTTGTTGTTGTCTCATGCGCGCAGACAGTGCAGCGTGTTGACATCATGTCACCGTTCATAGCGCTTTGAATTTCAAGTAGGGTTAGGGGAGCTCATTGCGACAGCTAACTTCATGGAAAAAACATTCACTGCGCTTCAAAAGTCAAGTGCCCTTGCTTAAGCTGTCCATAGAGTGACGAGTGAATATAGAATAGTAAGAGATATTCTCTAAAGTATTGTTTTATTTACTCTTGTAGGCTCCTCTCATCACTCTGTCTCGTAACCATCAAATAAAGAGTATTTCTGTATATTTATTTTAATGGTTATAGATATAATGTGCTCCAATTTTTCTACGTTTGAGAAAAATGAGACAAAAATCCAATAGATTTATCTGTTTTAAAAAAATCACACGACATTTGAATGGCTCTGCCACTCTTCGGACAGCTGTGAATAATGCAAAAATCATGAATGTGGAATAGTAAAGTCGAATGGGCTCAGCTCTAGTGGGTGGTTGAAGGGTGCAGTTAATCAGTCCTATTCCTATCTTTCTTTCTCATCTCTCTGGGTTTTTTTTTGGTCTGTCATTTTCCTTTAAAGTTTCCAACTGCTGTGTTGAGTTGATGTGTTTCACTTTCTCTCATGCGGGTGGTTGGAGGGCCCCACTGGTAGGTAGGTCTTACTTCTTTAATTTCCCTCTGTTGTGTCTGTCTGTCTGTCTGTCTTACTTTTCTCCAGCACTAGATGACCATTATTGTGTTGATGTGCTTCTTTTTACTCCAACAAACTTTTGTCTTTAGGCCATTCCCAAAGGAGGGAAATTAACTTGTTCTTATGCACAGTAAAATTGTAAATGGGCTGATTTATCAATGTCATGCTCATACACTGTGCCATAACAACATAGGGGGAACTGCTGCTTTTTCTTTCCTCATCCTTACTATCATTCTTTTTCCTCTACTTGTTTTGTATGTTTGTCACTCTCTTGTGAACAACTATTTCCGAGGTGCCTTGATAGTAGAAGCAGACTTTGTGCTGATGAGGCTAGAGAGTTGAGCAGAGTAAACCTGATTCCCCGTTTGAAATTCTCTGTTGACATCCACCCCTTGGCGCTCCTATGACCTTATGCAGTTGCAAGTGCCATAAAACCTTACTAAAAAAACCCCAAAAACAAACTTTCTGTCAACAGGAGAAACAGCGCAGTTTTTATGCTCTGTTCTGTATTCCTTTTGTTCATAATATATTTTAATAATTTCCTATTGTCTCCACCGGTGTCTTTGGTGATTGGATATTTCACCGTTACAGGCTGGAGTGAGTTCAGTGCCCCAATGGGAAAGTTGGTTTGTTGGTTTTTTTTCCAAATATCTGTGTCTGTCTGCTGGGAAGTTTTGATTTTATTCCACTTAGCCGGGATTGGAATTGACAGACTGGGCATTGTACCTGCATCATGTATGATCAATATTGTAGTTATTGTGTGTGTGTGGAGGGGGGGGGGAGGAAGAGGTTAGGTAAAACGTAAAACATTTTAAAGTACTTGATTCTACCTCCCCACAGTGCAAGCTGGAGCTGGTGGACATCGGTGGGCCAGTGGACCACGCCACAGCCTTTGGTCGGATTGCTTTCGCCTGCCCGGGAGCTGAGGTGAGGGTGGAGGTCGCTGGTTTGGCTTCTCTCAAATTCTTTGGTTTGCTTTGGCCTCAAGCAAGCCGTCTAGTATTTTTTAAACACCCAGTGCAACTGAACCTGCTCTAATTACCACCTGTCGAAGACAATCACCTGTACTAACAGTCTCTTCCGACGTCCTCCTTTGCATTTTTTCTACATTATAATGACCCTGTCCCAGAGGCCCATCTGTCTTAGATAGCCAGTTTTCTCCACGACAATGGGTGACCATTTTCGACAGGCTTGATTATAGTTTTGAGAGTGTACCTGCAGTCTTTTTCAGTGTTTAGATCTGAAAGGAGATTTTTTAAAATGTTCCTTTGTAAATCATTAAGTGCTTTTTATCTGAGAAATAAAAAAAATAAAAAAAATTCATCCTTCTGCACTTCAGTTGGTAGAATTTGTAAGTGCCCATGCTCCAGTGATGATTGTTTTCAGCCACATTAAGATCCAGTCTTTACCCTCTAAACTTACTCCTCCTGTAGTTTAAAATTTGTGAAAAGTATGGACCCTTGTATGTTTATTTTCTCATTTTGAGTACCATACATTAGTTCAGGCTTGAGTGCACATGCAACGTACAAGATAAGTTTTTGCGGATCAAAAGGACTAAGACCCTAATTCATCCTGGGTCTACTGTATAATGCCTAGGCTTTCTTGAGCTTATTGTATGAGCCGGTAAAGAATAAAAGCTGTATAATTGTTATGTAGCTGGAAGGTTTACTGTGATAAACAGTTTGATACTTATTTAGTTTATAAGACTCTCTGACAAATTTCTTGTTGTTGGGGTATCTGACCTAGGTTGTCGTCTTTATTGACAATTTTGTTGTTGTTTTGTCTCTTTCGTTCAGTTGCCATCTCTTGAAGAGCAAATGAAGGCGGAGAATCAGACCATCTTGACCCCCCTAGTCAGCCTAGACACCCCAGGCAAAGCCACTGTGCAAGTGGTTATTGTTGGAGACCCTGTGAGTAGTTCGTTGTTTATCATCTTGTCACATTTCGGTTTGTGTTTTCAGTATGTCTCAAACTCGAACTTCTTTTGTGGGTCGTTAGTGGCTACTCCTTGGAGAATATTGTAACAACAGGCAAGTTTGATGGAAAGAGAGGCAGAAGCAGACAGAGGGAAAAGATACTGGACAAGATGACAGCCTGGCTAGGAGCAGCAAGAACAACAGGCACCATTGCTGCAACGCAAGACAGAGTGAAGTGGAGGTCCATGATCGCCCATGCCAGTCGGCAAGGCACCGGATGATGATGAGTGGCTACTCTGGTGTGGTTTGCTATTTCTTTCCTATCCAACATCTATCGTTGTGATCTCTCTTTCTTTTTTTGTGTTTGTTACTCTCTTAAAACACCTCTAATCTTTAGCGCTTATTTGACCCTATTGTGTTGCAAGTGCCATAGAACTCTTTCTAAAACTAAACTTGCACATTTTCAGTTTTGTTAACATTACTCCTGTACACTTTTCCACCCTTAATGTGCTCCAGAAGGCCTAAGCTCTTTCTCGTACCCCCTTTCCGTAGGTGGTTGGAAGTCGCCACTGGTAGGTCCTACTCCTTTACCTCTGTTGTTTCTGTCTGTCTTATTTTTACTCAGTGCTAAATGGCCATCATTGTGTCAATGTGCTTCTCTTTGCTCAAACAAACAAACAACTTCCTTCGTTGACAGGATGGACACGAGATCTGCTATGTCGGAGACGAGGGCTTCAGAGACCTGTCCCAGGTGGACCCGAAGGCCGACTCTCTCTTGGACGAGGTAATCCGCTAGATGCCGGGCTGGGTATTTTAAAGAGTACTAATTTTGATTTATTTTTTAAATAAAAAATTGTCTCGTTTACTTGTTTTATAATAATTTGGCGTTCCTCCAACGTGATGCGTTGATTTCCTCTACTGTCAATCAAGAGCTTTACAGCAAACTATGCTGGTATGAGTATCTCTGTCAACAGCAAACATTATGTTCGTTGTTTCTTCTGACATTTGAAAGCTAACATTCTTGGCTCTGTGTGGGATGTGTACGGGGAATTGCAAATGTTTTAAATCTGCAAGCTTTGTTTGACTAAATAAACGTACATATGTTAGGTGTAGTGCATGCACCAGAGAGGATAAACTTAGATTTGAAATGATGGGTTATATTCTAGCGTTGAGGCTTAGGTGCCAAATCTGTGGATGGGGAAGGTTACCATTCCATTTTTTGGGTGTTTGTCTTCCCTTGCTGATTAAAAATATTGAAAGTTGCAAATATTTTTATGCCTGAATATGTTTCAACTATAATTTATGATATGTTTTCCTTGATCTGACTTTAAATTCATGCAAATACCATATTTCGTTTTCTACATCTTTTCTCTCTTCTTCCTCTTCACTGAGCTCCCTTCATCTCCTCTTCCTCCTCACCCATCAACATTTTGTGCAAAGCTCCTTAGCATTTTTAGATGGCCATTTCTCTATTTATGTATGGCCATGTCTTGATGTTTTTCCTAATTTCTCCAGTCCTTTTTTTCCTCACCTGCCTCTGTTTGTGTTGCAGGCGATCAGCAAAGACAAGAGTGAAGAATGGTTTGCCAAGAAAGGTTTGACTAAGGGAAGTGCATAGCTGTCCTGACTTTGTTGACCTGCCTTCATTTGGGACTTGGATAAAAAAAATCTCTTTAAAAAATAAAGAAACGAAAAGAAAAAGAAGAAAAAATATGCATGTGTAGTTTTAGCTTTTAAAAGTAGCACAAGAGGATGGAAAAAGACAAAAGCACAACTATTTGATGCATGATGAAAAGATATTATTTGTAGTGTTTCATTTTAGTCTGTTCAGCTTTTACTCAAGAAAATCAGGTATTTATGATGCTGAGAGAAAAGCCAGAAAGAACAAAACAATAAACAAAACAACAATTGCTCATTGGACAGATAGTCTCTGAATGATGTTCTTGAGTAAAAGCTAAACAGACTAAAATTGAAACACTACAATATTATAATTGTGTTTGCTAAAACATTTCTTATTGTTGCTGGAATCCTCATGTTACTGCAATGTCTTTTATATAAAATTATTCAGAAGTTTTTATTTTTCTTTACTTCTGCCTTGTATAGATCTAATATGTTGTTTGCTTGTTGAATCGAAACGGTTATTTTGGAGTGAAACGTTTTGTTTCATTCCATTCTTGTTGGTCTGTTTTTTTATCTGCATCTGTTTCCTTCTTGTTTTCTTTGTTGTCATACTCTCCTCTTTTCAAACTGATATTATAGACTTATGTCCTCAAAATGTACAAATTGAGCATTCAAATGAGTTTTGCTGAGATCTTTGCAAGTGAACAAGAACACTAATCAAGATTGAAAGCTTGAAAAAGCATGATTTATTGTATCAGATTGATTTTGAATCATCAACAGCAAATGCTGCATAAAACATTCATATTTTTGTCGGACTCATTATTGTTTTCTTTTAATTGGTGGATCTTGGGTTTTGATTTTTAAAAATTTTTACATTAAAAAGATTAATCATGTTTGAACACTCTGCCCACCCTTAAAATTCTTTCTCTCTAATGACTTCTGACAGTACACTGACTTGTTTTGTTTCAGTAGTGCAAATGGGGAATCAGGCCACCACTGCTCACCTCTCTAGCCTCAATAGCTCAAAGTCTGCTTTGACTATCAAGGCACCACAGAAATACTAGTTCATAAGAGTGACAAATATACAAAAGAAGTAAAGGAAAAATGATGATAGTAAGGATGAGGAAAGAAAAAGCAGCAGTTCAGACTCAGTATGAGCATGACATTGATAAATCAGCCCATTTACAATTCTACTGCACATAAGAACATGTTGGTATCCCCCCTTTGGGAATGGCCTAAAAGTTTAAATCCATTGTTTTTTGGGCACGGGCCTTTGACCTGTTGATAAATGTTCACTGAAAAGTTAATAATGAAATATATCTCTGGAATAACCCTGGTAGTAGGTTGTGGTTACCTGATCAAGGGTTTGATACCCCTGATTCAATTTTTTAAAACTTACTAGATTTCTAAGGTATCAGATTTCATTGATACAGTGGCGTCCACTTATAACGATTCCTGAAAGAACGAGAAGTCTGTTATAAAAACATTATTCTAAAACCCCGGTTTTTTCCCTTCTTTATCTTTGTAAATGAAATACTGCTATAGCGCAATCAGATATACATGCGAGTCGGTATAGCGGAATATTCCTTCTGCTGTGCACAGCGTATAAGCCTTTTATACATTATGTAAAACCTCGCCAGTTGAGAAACTTGTTTGTGATCAAGCAAAAGAATGGGAGAGCCCATGTGTGCCAATGATGAAGGCCGGAGCGAATGAGTGGGGAGGGTGTGGCACGCGCAGACAAGCCGTTTTGAAGCAGAATGCATTGCCTGATAGTGACAGACCAGCCTGGTCTAGATTATCTAGGTCTATCATGTCTTTCACTTCTCCGATGCGGTGATGGAGAGGTCACAGTGCTGTGATGGATAATGGAGCGAATGTGTGAAGTGCGCAAGCAGACACGTGAATGCACCACAGGGTGAGGTGGGGTGGGGGGAAACACAGTGGGCGAGTTAGCCTAGAGAACAGTCAACGGCGAGCTGTCAACATCGCTAACACTAGAGAAAGAAACCTGATTCAATTTTTGATCAAGTAAGACCTAGAGGTCATGTTGAACAAAACCATCATCAGAGGAGATAACAAAAATAAATAAACAGAACACCAAACTCCTAGATTGGGCCTACTTTATTATTTCCTTTGAATTTATAACTGGATCCCTTACAACTAGAATCCTGCTATAATGGACATTTCGTACCGGTCCCCTCCCTCTCGTTATAACAGGATGCCACTGTATATTGTTATATCTTTATCTGTCTCAAACTTCATGACATTATATTAAAAATGACAATGTTGTGTTAAAAAAAAATGTTCTGTTGGCATGATGGAGATCAAGGAGGGTGTGGGTGGTTGGAGGGCATCATTGGTAGATCCTACTTATTTACTTTCTATCTGTCATTTATTTTCTTTTTTTCCAGCTTTAATTAACCCATATTGTGTCGGTTTTTCTCTTTGCTCAAAGAGAATCAGACAGTGTGTTCTTTTTAAAATATAGGGGTTCAAAAATGCTTATAGTCATTGTTAGTAATAGAGATATTGTGTGTGCTTTTTAGACTTTTGATTGGGATGCGACCTGTTTTAATAGCCAATTTTTTTCTTTTTTCTTTTGAACGCTACTACTTATACTTTTCAAGTAATGTCTTTTGGTCCTTTTTTTTACTCTGAAGAATGTGTTATTCTGAGTTTTGTTTAAAAAAAACTTTGTCACATTTGAAGTAAATTGAAGTCTGCCTCAACTTGAATTTACTTTTTAAATTTTTTTTACTCATTTCACACATTTCTGGGTGGGGAAAGTAAAGTTTTAATTTGTTATTTTATCTTTTTCTTATATGTATATGTATAAATGTACTAATACCCGTTGTTTGAAGATGTATAAATACCCTACATTTATGGTTGTGTCGTACATCAAAAACAACTCGTACTTTAAATTTGATGTTTTAAAACAGATATATATATATATATATATATATATATATATATATATATATATATATATGCTGTACACTAATATTGCAATTACATGAAGTAATAAAACTAAATTATCTCTTGATAGAACTTGACCATTGCTTTGTTATCTTTACTTTGGGCAGGGGGAGTTATAGCAAAAAGGAATAGAAGTGTTCTATTTGTGTTGGGTCTTGGTACAGTTGACAACTGATGAGTTGCTGTCGTTGTTGGTGAAAAAAAGATCATATCGTCCGTAGAACTCAACTTAACCATTAGGATCTGTATAGAAGAAGAGGTTCTGGGACCGGAGAAAAAAGATCAACGTAACCGAAGATCAACTCAAGTGAGTTCAACACAAGTTGAGTGGATTGTATATGTAAAATGTCTCAGTACACCACTCGGAACAAAAGGATGATTCAGGCACGTACATTGTGCAAACACGGATGTTAAAGTTTGTGTTTTTGTTTGAGAGAGAGAAAGTATACCAGTAACTTCGATGATGACTTTATGTGTGATCTTTTCATTGCAAGCATAGCCTATCTTGTCTTAACTGGAACGTTTGTTAACTATTATTTACTCTTAATCTATGGGTAGTTGGCAGGTGCTCTGATGGGGTTTGCTCCTTCTTTCCTGTCAAACATCTATCGTCCTTATCTTTCTTCCTTCCTTTTTGTGTTTGTTGTCCTCTTATACTTTACTTTATCTGTCCTCTTGTACCTCTAGGTCGAGGGGAGAAAGACCTCCCTGTCTGTAGCAAGTTTGATGGACTGGCTGGGTGGGATATTGAATGTTCTCAGGGTATCCTTCACACCCTGGATCTAGGTCTTTCTTGGTCTTCCTCTTGCCTTGTACCCTGATGCTTTTCTGTAATAGGCTTTACTGGCAAGCTGGTGAGTTGCCATACGTATGAGATATCCAAACCACCTGATTGTTTGCTGTCGAATGTAGTGGAGGACAGGTGTTGTTCCCATCATTTCTCTGACCTTGTTGTTTCTGACCATGTCTCATCAGGTTTTGTTGACGGCTCTCCTTAGACATCTCATCTCGCAGGTGGTTATTTTACGTTCCAGACTTGGTCAGGGTCCATGTCTGGCACTGGTAGGTGAAGATGGGGATGAAGAAAGAGTTAATGTGATTGGCTTTGGTTTCAATGGAGATGTTAGGATGTTTGACAATTTCTCTGTTGAGACTGTCTTCCGAAAAGATGTTACTAAGATACCTGAACTCGCTTACTTGTTTCAGCGGATTTACGTCGATGCTGATGTTAAGGTTGCGAGGTGTTCTGCTGATTTTCGTCATCTCCGTTTTGTTTTTACGGATTATCATGTTGAGCTTTTCACATTGTGTATTCAGCCTGTCTGTGTGCTCTTGAAGTTGCTCCTTTTTTTCATATATGCCAGGCTTTGATCGCCCGCAAACAGCATCTCATTCAGGTCTATCGGGTTGGGGTTTGCTTCTTTTGTAATTTTGTCCATGTATATTATGAATAGTAGCGGTAACAACACACACCCATGTCTCATTCCAGATGACACGTCGAACCAGTCAGTGAGTCCGTTTTGGGTGCGGACTGTGCTCATACTGTTGGTATAGAGGGCTTATGATTAATATGATGTTGTCCAACAGTTGTCCCTTAATGCTGTACTCTTCAAGTGTTTGCCACAGTTTGTTTCTATCTACTCTATCAAACGCTTTTTCCAGGTCTACAAACACAAGATTCATTTCTTTGTTGTATGCAATTGTCCTTTCACTCAGTTGTCAAGAGCGAAGATAGCATTTGTGCACCATCTCCCTTTTCTGAAGCCCATCTGCGCATCACTCAGTAATGGTTCCACCTTGTTTCTCGAACGCTGTTCAAAGATCTTTGCGTACATCTTGCCTGTGTGGCTCAGAAGGGAAATTCCTTGGTAGGTTTCAGTCTTTCTTGCTGCCTTTCTTCTTCCAGATTACTGTATCACAACTGCACGCTGCCAGTCTTCTGGGATTTTCCTCTCCCTCCATACCTTTTGGAATATTGTGGTCAGCCAGGTGATTGCTGTTTCTCCACATGCAAGGATGGCTTCAGTTGTAATGCCATCAATGCCTGCTGCTTTGTTCCTTGGGCTATTCTTCATTGCCTGTTGTAACTCTGATCTTAAAATATTTGGTTCTTCTTCTGGGTATCGTGGTTGAAATTGGCTCTGTGTGTTCCCTTGACTGCTTGGGTTAAAGAGTTCCCTGAAATACTCCTGCCATCTGTTTTTGATGCTGTCTTCTTCACTGAGTGGTTTTGCATCTTTGTCTTTGACTACCGTTGGTAGGCTGTATGGTTTGTCTCGTATTCTCATTGCTTTGACACTGTTGTAGGTCTGTCGTGGCGTGTGTCTGCTCAGTTCTATTTCGCCACATTCCTTCCATGACTGTTCCTTGGAACTTCTGACTATCCTCTTGCTATTTCGTCTTGCCAGTCTGTATTTTACATAGTCCTCATCTAGCTTTGATTTTACCCACGCCTTGTACAACTCCTTCTTTTCTTTGATGGCCTCCTTTACTGTGTCATTCCACCAAGCTGTCTGTTTTACCTGCCCTCTTCCGGTGTTCTTTGTACTTGTACTGCAGGCTTTACCAAGTGTCTCTGTCAGCACGATCTTGAACACTGACCATGTTTCTTCTGCTGTCATTTCTGATGTGTCTACTTCTTTCAGCTTCTGTGTGACGTCTGTCTCCATTTCCTTTCATACTTCTTTCTTCTGGGGTTTTCTTAATTTGATCTGCCCGTCTCTTTATTTCCTCCGTCTTTCCCTCGTTCTTTTACTCTGCTGCTTTGTTAATAACATAATAAATTATAATAATAATAAATTGCATTTATGTATCACATTTCCACAAAGAAGTGCTCAATGCGCTGTACAATAATACAAAGAAGATATGAAGCGCACAGCTTCTCTCTCTCTCTCTCTCTCTCTCTCTCTCTCTCTCTCTCTCTCTCTCTCTCCTCTCTCCCCCCTCTCTCTCTCTCTCTCTCTCTCTCTCTCTCTCTCTCTCTCTCCCTCTCTCCAGTGCATCCTTGAGTAAAGACTATCCCACAAAGCTTACCCAGACACCCTCGCACACATTGATGAATTCTCACAGTCATAAATTTTTATTGAACAGAACAGCATGAATAAACGATACTGAGAGAACATAATAGATTACTGAGAGAACATAATAATATTTGTACTGGGAATGTCGGAAATTACAGATTGAAGCTGGACTGAAACAAATACGTTTTAAGTACCGATTACAATTTTGATAAAGTGGTGAACTCCCGTAGATGAGGTGATAAAGCGTTCCACAAGGAGGGGGCGTGGTGTGAAAAAGCTCTCCCTCCGAGTCTCTGACTTTTGCTTTGGACAGGTCAGGTCTTAAAAGTCTTTTCGTCGCCGATCTTAAAGGCCGAGATGGTATATATTCGATGACCATGTCGCAAAGATATAATGGTGCAAAGTTGTTGACGCACTTAAAACAAAGATACATATAACTGGACGGTAGTCAGTGTCCAAAGCTGCATATTCAGGATGGCTCTCGTGTCCGTGACTCTATTCAGATCGTTCCATTTGTACCAAGTTTGTTTCTGACTGGGTTTGAGTTGGTTGAAGGTGTTTGTGGTCCACAGTCCGTGTTCTGCACACAGTGCTAATTGCTGTTCCCCGTTGTAGCACTCTGTGTTAGTGTCGCTGTGTGGGCCAGTAGGAATTTCAGACTGCAAACGGAGTTAATTTGGTCCGTCCGTTTCTCTCTCCCAAGGAATTCTTCTCTTGCCAACTCTTCCATAGAAATCTCTCATGGCAATAAGTTCTTCCTTGTCTGGGACTGTGCTTATGGTGCCTGCCATCTTCTCTAAGAATTCCTCTTTTTATTCTTTGCTGTAGGAGTCATTGCAAGGTGTATAAGCTTGGATGAAGTTTGAGATATTTTGTTCTCCCCTTACTCGGGTTTTGATGATCCTCTCCGATATAAACTCTGTTTCCAACACATTCTTTGCTGTATCCGGGTATAGAATAAAACATACACCATGTGTTGCCCTAGTTGTCCCATCCCCGCAACCCCAAATCAGGACGTAGTCCTCATGGATCTGTTTGATTCCAGTTCCCTTCCGTCTGCAGTCTGAAATTCCCATCACCGACATTCTCCATCTCTTCATGAAGTCAATAACTTCTGACTCTTTGTCTTTGATTACATAAACATTCCAAGTGCTCGTTCTTTCTCGTTGTCCTTTTCCGTTCCCGGGTCGTTTTTCGTTTTGGTCTGTCCGTTTCTTTCTCCTGTGATTTTCTTTAGCAATAAATAATCCGCCTCCGGCTTGCTAGGCCTGTCGTGGTTTCACCAGAGCCCCGTTAGCCGGACTTTTCAGGGTGATCCGGGATTGTCTTCATCATTGCTACCGTAGCGGTCAGATGAGTAAAACCCACGCCATACATCTTTCACACCCAGCAATCCCCTACTTTGTCCGTTTCCACCTCCGCGACAGTGGACGAGGGGTTGGACTTTGGGGGAGGCTACCGTACCCTCTTATAACACCTCTAATCTTTGGCACTTATACCTAATTGTGTTGCAAGTGCCATTAAACTCTAACATGTACTAAAGAAAAACTCATTTATCTTAACTGGCAACAATACTGCACGCCTTGCAGAGGGACTCGTTGGTGAAATTGAATGAAGCAGTGAGCCAAAATAATTTTTATGGTGTTAAGACCAGGAAAAACAAATCACTGTTTAATTTTATTATAGACCTGAATAGTCCGAAGCCTGGCTTGGTAGTGATAGTTGTTCATGCGTACAAAATTCATGACATTAGTAGGCCTAATTAATGGTGTGGCATATGGAAAATAAGTTAAATGTACATTACTGAATAATTTAATGTCACTGCCGCCTGTCTTAATCACACATAACTCCCCCTGTATCACTCTGTCTGTCTGTCTGTCTGTCTGTCTGTCTGTCTGTCTGTCTCTCTCTCTTTCTCTCTCTCTTTCTCTCTCTCTCTCTCTCTCTCTCTCTCTGTCTCTCTCTGTCTCTCTCTCTCTCTCTCTCTCTCTCTCTCTCTCTCTCTCTCTCTCTCTCTCTGTCTCTTCAACAATATTATGTGAAAAATGTCTGCCGAGGAGCTCAGGAATTTTAACAGACCTGTCTCCCACCTTTCTTCCACCCCCCCCCCCCCTCCCCTTAAATATTACAGATCCTGGAGAAAGTTACTTTGGTTCAATTAGAGAACCATATGAGAGAAAACAATTTGCATATATAACAATCTACCTAAAGGCTGTTTCCTAACACAGAAACTGCTATTGAAAATCATCATCTTCATCCACCAGATCTGCGACAGACATCGGCGATCATGGTTTTTCTCCATTCATTCCATTTGCTCGGATGCTCTAAAAAAAAAAAAAAAGCTGCGTTTCCCTGATCTTTCCCTGTTACCCATTTGTTAAGGTTTCTTAAGTGTGTTGTTCTGGGCCTACCGCTGCCTCGCTTGCCTTCAAATTTGCCAGTGAGAGCTAGATGTTCTAGACCCTTATGTTTATTCAGATGTCCCAAAAAACTGCATTTGTCATTTCCTGATTGTTTTCAACATTGAGCGTCCCACGTGGGCCTCATCAGGCACTACCCCATTTGATTTCTTTACCTTCCACGATACTCTGAACAGTATCCTAAGAAACCACTTTTCTGTTGCTTCTATTTTATTCTGTCTTAAGAAATTGTCCTGCGTTCAGAGCCATATAGCATAGAAGGGCGGACCATGCATAGCATTCCAGAACTTTATTTTGGTGGTCATTGAGATGTTTCTATTTTTCAGGATTGGGCTCATTTTATTTTATTGAAACTAGCTTTAGCCTTTGTAATTCTCCGTTTTATTTCTATTGAAAATAAAACATATTATTTTTTTTATTAGGCTATATTATGCATGTGTGTATATATAGCGTGCACGTGCTTCCGTATGCTTTGTGTTTGAGTGTAAGCGCACGTGCGTACATTCGTAAATGAGTGTCTTTGTGTGAGTGCGTGTATTTGTGTCATTTCTTTTTCTGGGTTTGATTATGAGCAAAGATTAATTTTCCAAACTAGATCTACATGTAGATCTGGGCCATGAATAGTAGATTTATATTGTACGTCAGTATTGTACTTTCCTGAATGTATACTCGGAATTATATTATGTAAAGAGCAATATGTACGTGTTTGTAGCCTACACATTGCACTACGAAATAATAGCAGTATTATTGTTATTATTTTTATTACTATCATTATTAACGCAACACACACACGCGCGCGGGCATGCACGCACGTCACACACATACGCATGTGCTCACGACGCACACAGTATCTATACGAGTGAGCACTGAGGTGAGGTAAAAGAAATCCTCACATCTTCCTCATGAATCTGGGGCGTCAATGAAAAAAAGGAATCGTATGAAGACAATAATTCTGAGCTAAAGGTGTTCAATATTTAAACATTGGCAATATCAAAACAGCATTGTATTATTTATATAATTATGTTGGTACTCTATCCCACTATATGAGTATTCGTCAGAATCGCAAGTCTGAGGTTGATAAGAATGCAGATATATGCTTTAGATCTATGTACTGCAGTCAACAGCAATGATAGCCATTTTCCCAAAACGAAAGCGAAGACACACTTGCAGTATGTCTGTAATACAGAGCATACTACATGTAGGCCTATACCAATATAATATTATTATGTAATTGAGTTTCGTGTTTCCTAAAATTGTGGTTTGTTTCGCTGTAAATAGAAAGAAAGGTTGTTGTTTTTTTAATGGAAAACAAAAATAAAGCCCGAAATCAGCAAGCAAAGTTTTTGCAATTTGAAAGCAGAAAGTAAAGATAAACTCTTCTCCAAAGAACCTCTACAACTACCTTAGCTCATTATAATGTTGTAAACACGTCTGCTACATACGCTTATAAACATTGATCTGCAAGGGTCGTGAAAGAGTGCTGAAATTGGTATCTCTTCAGAGTTCTTTGGAGTTCTCATCGTGTGGTACGTGGAATTTGCTCATCTGACGCTATTTTGTTCCAAAGGTAGATCTACCAGATGTGCGTTCATATAAATCATGTTATGAAAAATAGCTCTGCAGTCTGTGTTGTGTAGCGTAGCCTAGCCTAACGATAACACTGTTACTGTTAATGTAACTTTTACTGTGCTGATGCTTGAGTTAACCAGCTACGATACTAGATAGGCACTTGGATATCGGCCCGCGCGGCCCGAGATTTTCGTTCACCTGCGGCCGCCGCGTTTTGTGTCAGAAATCGGGCCCCGTGAGGGGGGTACCTATTTGTTTTGTTTCGTTTATAGTGTTCTTTTCAATTTATGGATTACTTCCGCCTATCAAATTAAAGAGGAAAGAAAGGCGCGTATTATGGCGTTTTCCACTTCGGGATCGGTTGTGTGTGTTCGGAGTTACAAGGAGTTAAAAATAAGGTAAGTTCAAGCCTTTATATTTAAAGAGTATATCTTTTTTTTTTTAGGTACTCCTCACAGTCTTTTCTTCAACCTTTTATCTCTTTTATTTGTTAATTTCAATGTTGTACGTTGAGGCATAAGCGTGTGAGCCCTAATTTAAATAGGTCACTCTCCATGAATGGGCATGACCTATTATCGATCGCGCTGCTGAGCGTGAACCGGGAGGTCATGGCGGCCATTGCGGAAAGCGAACTTAACCCACGCTAACGTGTATTGTTGG